CTGTGTAACGAAATAAAAATTTTTTTCATTTTTCTTGAAAAAAAAAACACCGTTTTCTAACTCATGAATCTTAGCCAAGAAATGATGAAAAGAAGCTTAATTGCTTATCGAAGACTCTACACAATATTTGGATCAATTGGGTAGTTTCTATGAATGGGCCAATGTGATAACCCAACAGGAGGGGTAAAGGATTAAGGAACTTTAAAAGTAAAATGCTCAACAATGCTTAATCAGAGTCAATATGAAACTAACTCTGTATAATATTCAAATTATAGAATATTTCTTAAAAATTTTTCATTATAATATCCTAGGTATGGGTCTTCTTGGTCTTCAATCTATAGAATATTTATCTCGTGATCGAACAACATGTTTAACATATGTTAATATTCCATCACCAAATGATTATTCATTTGCTATAGCTGTTATTAATGTTGTATCATGGCTTGTTAATTTACTTGAAATTAACCCGTCCATAGAAAATAATTCACATCCATTATTAACACATTTTTCTGTACATCCATGTAATTTAGATGAATTTTTTCGATTATTTTCACTTGTTTTTAATGAATGGCATCAATTTTGGATTGATCAAAAAGCAAATATTATGCAATTTGAACAATTATCAAAAATATTTCGTGCACAAATGTTTATTGAATGTCAACAATGGCGACCTATACAACAAGGCTTTTCAAAACAAATATAATTATTTGTTTTAAAAAAAAGAAAACAAAAACAAATGAACAGTAAACATTGACTTATTTTATTTTGTTGCCTTTTTTTTTTCTCTTTTTGCTCAGTTTTTAAAACGTGACAAAAATGAATTTTTTTCATTGTCATATGAATGGGTTCCTCGGGTTTTTATTTTATGCAATAGAAAATTAACGAGAATCTTGTTTATATTTACCTTTTCTTTTTGCACCCTTTATAATTCTCGTGATCTATTTTTTTGTTTTCGATCAGTTATATACAACAACAACAAAAAAAAAAACATTACTCAAATACATTGTAAGTGTTCTGTGGATGACATGAAACGTGATAAGTCTTCTATTTGACTCATGAATATGTTTTTTTAATTGCACAAGCAAATCGTTATGTTTTTTTTTTCGTCATTCTTTTCTCTTACCTTTTTCTTAACAGTCACCTTACTTATTCATCAAGAATCGTAAGAAAAGGAAAACAAACATCAACAAAGTTATTTCATAATAAAATAAGTTTTTTTTTTCTTTCATTCTAATTTCAAAATATATTTTCATGTTATCATTTACTATTGAAAATATCTTTGGTGTTGGATCATTTCGTTTATGTGCAGGTTTTCCATCATCAATTAAATCAATTGAATATTCTAAATCATATATATATGAATGTCCATTAAATGGTTGTATACAAATTTATAATTATTCAACAAATGAACGTACATATTTTGAACATATTTATGATGATATTATTGTTGTTATGCTTTATAATGAATATATAAATCAAATTATAACATGTTCTTATTCAGGTAAAATTATTCTTTGGTCAGCTAATTATCAAAAACGTTTTGTTGAACAACAACTTCGAATAAATCATATTCATTATGGATTTTGGACACGTGATGGTACAACAATTTATTTTTGTTCAAGATTTGATGGTAAAATTTTTTTTTTTTTTTTACATAAAAGAGTACAGATCTGATTTTAAATAGTGATATAGATATTATAAGAGGTCGACTACATAATGTATCATAGGAAAGAACTCTGTCTGTCTGTCTATATAGATTTTTGTATAGTTAAAATAAGTGCTTTCCAGTATTTCCTAACCAAGAGATTTGCATTAACATGAAAACAAAATAGACCAATCGATAGAGAATTTCATGAGTGTGGGTTAAGGGAAGAAACAACCACAATCAACTTGAAAGCTAATGGAAGCCACTTTTTCCCCATTGTTTGTTTTTTAATTTGTGAAATAAATAGAACAAGACGAAGAAAAAAAACACATTCAACTTCGAACTGTGGTACATTATTAAAAAATAGACCATCTTGTGCTACTTCATGCTCACTTCCGATTTTCTTTTTTTGATAGTAGAGTTGTAGAAAATTCAATTTTCTTTAAAATGAGACGTTTCCGACCTTTCTAGCTATCTTCAAACATGAACAAAATACGATGGAATTTGAAGAATTTTATTTTTTTTATATGCTTCGTCTATTCTCACTAAAATCAGGTTTCGGAGACAAGGATTGATACATACAGAAAGAGTTCTCTTCTAAAACACATCATGTAGCCGGCCTCTCATACTATCTATATCACGAGGTCTATATCCTTTATGTGAAAAAAAAAACGAATTCACTTTGCTAACTGTTGATAAATATTATTTCTCTATAGGTACACTTATATCACTTTCTTATGATGCTAAACATTATTCATTAACTGAAAATTGGCTTCGACATTGGGCAACAGCAAGAGTTGATTTAGAAAAAATTCATCCTGTTATTGAAGATTCTGTATCATCAATAAACATAGCTGAAAAAATTGAAACATCAAATACATATGTTGCTGGTTCGATTGGTTATGAATTTGTTATATGTACAGCTATGCGCCGTCATTTATTTGCTGTGCTTCAACGACCAAAACAACATGTTCGTATACATGAACTTAATTTACATGATGGTCATTTAATTAATGATCTTATATTAGAAAAAGCTAAAGCAAATCAAACATTTTTATGTGGTACAACAACAACACTTTGTGATAAAGATTCTGGAAAAGAATTCTTTGCTATTGGACTTCAATCAGGTTTAATTTTTATTATTGATACAAATCCATTACAAATTCATACGGTTGTAAATGGTAAAAAGAAATTTTTGTTTTTTTTAAAAGAATATTTTGATACATTACATAATAAGAAAATTTCTCGTAAAAATCTAATTAAATCCGCATAGAAAGTATGTTGAGATTTTTAAACTTACTAAAAAATTATTGCAGAATTCATTAGAGAAACAAAACAGAAGTTTTTGTAATTTATCAAGACACGATAAGCGAATTCCAAGAATTTTTTGTAGAATTACTAACATTTCAAAAGAGAATTTCGAGTTAATTTCTGCAATAGGAATCATCTACAGATAAAACTACGATGAAATTTAGGAAAAGAACTAACAGCCAAGCAACATACTTCAGGGAAATAAGGATGTGGGTAGAATCGATAGCCACATTGACATTCATACCTTTTCTCGGTAGTGTGGATTTTATTTGGGAATAGTTTCTGAAATTTGATTATTTACAAGGAAACCTTCCCAACTTGAGAATTGCTTTTGAATTCAAACTCTATGCATAAGGTAGGCTTCAATGAAATACTGAAAAATCCAAATGGATAAGAATTTCTAGACCTTCCCTATAGATCTATAGCCGTTTTACTGAAAATTTAACCTATAGCAGTATATGTACAAAAAACTTGAGTGATAATACTGTTAGCTTTATGAAAATTTTTTATTTTTCTTGTCTAATTAGCTAGTGGATCTCCACAAGCAATTATCTGGTGGCATTCATATTTATTAACAGTTGGTTATATTTCATCGATAGTAAATGTTTATTCATTAGATGGTTTATTAATTGGTTCTGGTGATGGTGCACCAACAACAGCTATTTGTCATTTACAATGGAATTCTGATGAACAAGATTTATTATGGATTGGTGGTTATATGGGATTAACACTTGTACATATTGAATTATTAGATAATCGTACACCTTCACCAATTGAAACAGTTATGTTTACAATATTAAATACAATTCCTGATGAAAAATCATCATCATCATCAATAAATTTAACAACAGTAATACATAGAACATTACATGAAACAGCTGGTTGTGGTTTATATATAGAAAATAATGAAATTTTATCTGGTGATCTTAGTGGAAATATATTTCAATGGACAATAAATGATATAAAACCAAAACAACATATTAATATATCTGATAGTATTCGATGTTTTATATCAAAAAATTTTGTTGGAACATTATCTGGTTTATTATATAAAATTGATACACAAGAAATAGTTGAAGATTTTCAATCAACAATTATTTGTTCAGCATGGAATAAAAATCAAATATCTTGTTTAATTGGTCTTGGTGATGGAAGATTAATAGATTTTCATACAAAAAAAATTATTGGTTTACATCATAATAATGCAGAAATATGGAGTGTTTGTTGGAGTCCAAATGAAGAATTATGTGCAACAGCATCAGAAGATCAAACAACATGTATATGGAAAGTTGATGATGAACAAAATTTAATTGCTACTCTTACTGGACATACAACAGCAGTAACAGCTGTTCAATGGAAATATGAACGAATTTATACATGTGCTGATGATAGAACAGTAAGAATATATAATACTGAATTAAATACATACAATTGTCTTTATGTACTTCATACACCAAAATCTTTATTTGGATGGTTTACATTAACATATTTAAAAGTTGATGAAGATCAAAAATTAATAATTTGTACAACACAAAATGGTTATTTAGTTATATGGCGTTATGATGAAAATGTAGAAAATGAAATACCAATTCTATGTAAAAAAATTCATTTTGGAAGTTTAGAAGGTTTAACTTATGATAAAGAAACTCGTCGTATAGTAACAATAGGTAGTGATTGTACTGTAACTTCACTTCGTTTACATATTGATTAATTTCTTTTATTCTTTTTCTGGTTTTTTGTTTTTTTTAATTTGAAAATGATTTTTTTGCTTTTGTTTATTGATTTATTATATTTCAGATATAACAGATAAAAATAAAATAAAATAAAATGTCATCACGCAATAAAATTTCGGATCGTGAAAAAAATGAAAGAATACGTCAATTACGTGAAGTAATGGGCGTTACTGAACAACAAGCACGACAAGCACTACAATCAAATGATTGGGTCGTTGAACGTGCTGTTGCTGCTTTCTGTGAAGAATCATCATCATATCCATCATCTAGTAGTAGTTCACATCATGCATCTTATCATAGTCAATCATCATCATCATCATCATCATCATCATTATCATCATCAAAATTTGATCGTAAAAAAGTTGAACAATTATGGACAAATTATGCTGATCCAAATGATACAAATAAAATGAATTTAGAACAATTATTGCGTTTTATTAATGATTTACAATTTAATCCAAGTAAACGTGAAACTCTAATACTGTGTTGGAAAATGAATACATCTAAACAAGGAGAATTACAACGTAATGAATTTTTACATGGTTGTCAAGATTTACAATGTGATACACTAGATAAATTACGTGAAAGAATTAAAGAACTTAATAAAGAAGTTGAAACTGATAATGAAAAATTTAAACAATTATATATATATACATTTAATTTTGCACGTTCATCAACATCAATGAAAAATCTTGACATACAACCAGGTAAATGATTTATACAAATTTCAATGTATGCATTAAATAATATAAAGAAAAGTTAAGTTGTAAAGGATCTCGCCAGGTTTAGTGTTCTATCTTGAATCAGATTATCATATATGTAGTTTTCTAGAGCTATGTGCAGTGCATCAAATAGCATATAAGAAATCAAGTTTTATGAAAATTTTCATGTGCTATGGATCGATACATTAGTCATTATACCTAAGGGGTGTATTATAGGGTACTCATAGACTATTTGATCCTTAAAATGGATTTAAGTAAATCTTGTTTTTAAACTCAATTCAGTACAGTTATA